AATCGATGAATCTGTCAGAGCGCAAGATCAGAAAATAATCAAATAAAATTCATAGACGATTCTGCTCGTATTATCAACATCCTGCACGAAGATATATTTTTTTCAGATATATTTTCTTTGCCATTACCATTGCGGTTTTATATGCCTTTATCCTTTAAGCCTCTCCTACTAAAAAATTTCTCCTGCCAAGTGTAATTGCCAGACGGCAGTTTTTTAAAAATTTTATATCATCGAAGAGATCACGCGAAGAGTCGATGCTTTTCATGATCTACTCTATTCTGTAAAAATCATAAAAAATTTTTGAGAAAAACTGGCAGGGTCTGGTGACCCTGTCGCCAAGTATATTTCCTTCCCACGAAAAATAAATCTACTACTCCCATAAGATTTAAAATTCCAAACCTATTTCCTTGTGATTAGTAAATATCCTTGGCAAAAGAAATGATCATTCTCAGTGAACGATACTTCGATATTCCGATCTTCTGTATGAATTCCAAAGAAATGTCTTATAATAATGTCTTGCCTTTTTCGTACAAAACCCCTCACCAAAAATGTTCTCGAAAAACAATTTTTTGATTGGAATTATTTTGAATCGAGGGCTGACTTTTTGAATGGCGGAGCGTCGGCTGTTGATATATTCTTCTCTATCATCGTATATCGTATATTGTTTTTAAATATAATTTTTTATGAACACGTAGTGAGTTAAGGTAATATATAGAAGAAGGTGAGGTTAGATACGTGGCTTTTTCTGCGCAATCGCCGGTCTCCGAGGCTCCACCTATCGACTTGGATCAAATCATCGTCTTTGTAATGGTCCGCTGGAAACATATCGACAGCCGCAACTGTAGGTGTGCTTACATTATCAAGCTCCATTGTCATTATTTTCAACAATTTAGAGTCTATCAATAAACTTCCTCGGAGTTATCGCACTTCTTAACGGCTAAAAGTTGTCCTTAATCCTAGATCTTCCTCCACTTCTCAAAATCTTCAATTTTATTGCATGCAGAATTTATTGCACCCCTGGTCTTAAATCTATATTTATTCTGCAACTCCACTTTTGTTCTCATCAGATTTATCAAATAGATCGAATAAAAAAATTGATAAATGGCCTCCGATTAATTGAGCATTTATTTAAAAAAAAAAACAGTTTTTCACTTGGTAATGTCTTGGATAAATTGGATGTTATTGACTCATTAATTGTCATTGTTCATTAATTTATAATTATTATGAGTAATTGGGGAGAAATTTGGAGTCAGTATCGGATTACAAGACGATATCGTTTTGTAATGCGAGACGACTGATTAAATTTTTTATTCACTCTCAAAACTTGTTCGATATTTTATCGGTATTTTGTTGATGGAAGGATAAATAAAGTATCTTAAATTGTTGATATTGAGTCCATATTACTCGACAACTCTGTAATACAGTGATTAAATAAAAAATTAGATAGTCAAAAAGTTTTTCCAAGGAGAAAACCGATAAAAACGAAATGGAAACCTAAACTTGAAGGAGGCCATTTTGTATTTTCCCCACGGAAGGCGGTATTGATTAATCTGTCACTGGGCCAGATTATTCGGATTCTTCTACTCCTCCCCACGAAAATCCCAAATATATCCCAAAAAATCCAACAATAACCAAATCCCCATGAAATATTTAAACAATCGATAAACATGCGACAATGGCAATATTCAAAATTGCCACAAATATCGAGAAATTGTTTTTTAAAAAATCCCCAAAACGAGTCCTTCGAATATATCGTGTACCCAAGTGACAACTGACGATTCGCGAAATTTCCATCCTCCAAAAAAGTCCTCAAAAAAAATATCTGACCATCAAAAAGTCCAATGTATAATCGACCCTCTAAAAAATAAACTCTCATTCGTAATTTCCCATTAAAATCTTCTCTAACCAATTATTTATTTTCCTCCGACATCAATTATTCCGATTCGCGTCATCATAGTTACCTTTCTTGTCCGTCATTATTGCTTTATATTTTTTCTCGACACTAGAAAACGTATATTTTATATTTCGCTAATTTTTTCTCCTTTAATAACAGCTATTGAACGATTTTCACGCCTCGCGTAATAGTGAGAGAAAAAAAAAAA